GTATCAATACAGCAACAGCTTTAGAAAAGGGTGTTAAAACTTTCTTTAGAGATGAAGAAAGATGAATCCACATTAATGGTTTCTTTTGCTAATGAACTGCTGTAAAAAAGCTGACAATTGATCAGTCTGTATAATGTAAGAGCTTTCTCTACTTTACGCATTCTTCATAAGTTAATGAGGAGAATTAGTTAATCAGAATTAGGATTTGCATCTCCCTTAAGAACATCAAACAGAGGCTTAAGCCCTCCTGTGGTGAGCTTAAGGTGAGGTCACACATCTGTAAGTCCTGCTGTAGGATTCATCACATTTGTATTTCTATAACAGTACATCTGAGTACAGCTGTACTCTTACATGCACGTGTACTACTTTGAGAAAATATATGTGATATCTCAGGTGATAAATGCTTCTTTGTACACTTCTTTACTTGATTTCCATGTGTGCTTTTGTACTAATAAACCTGTATGGACTTCTGTTCATGGATATCCATATGTTCATATTTACCAGGAAACACATGGACCCATTATTAGTAGAACATCAGGGTGAACTTCTCTACTTCTGCACAAGCATATCTGTGTCCATGTGCAAGGCAGTAAGTAAGTCTTTATTATTTGAGTAATCATGTTATGAGTAAATATTTGCACTTGTTTACTAGTAAATACACATATGATATATGTATGTGTACACAGAGGTGCATTGCTCAGCCAGTTCATTGATGTTCACAATCTGCTCCTACAACACTGCTGTTTAAGATAGGCATATGAACTGTGATACAACTATGCCCCTTTTTTTTCAGTACATGTGCATTGGTTTGTGCTCCGGTAGTAGGACAACTGTTTTTATTCAGACACTGATAGGCAGTGCTTTAGTGAGACATACACGTGAGCTGCAGTACTATTGCTTTTAAGAACATTATGGTATTCACATATCCATGTGTGCTCCTGTCTAGTATTTCCATGAGAGGTGGTTTGCTATTTTGCCCATTTGTCCTGCTATAACACTAACTTACATGTTTTTGTGTACACAGTACATGTGAATACACAGCACAAGTGCATATACATCTATAATAGGACATCCATGTGTAAATTGGACATCCATAATCACTACTCCAATAGTAAACCTATATGCAGTTCTTTACTAGTCCATCCATGTGTATTGCTGTACAAGTATAGTACATGCAAGTGTGCTGCTACACTGGCACAATCACAGTTATGTGCACTTCTTGCTCATATGTCAGTAAGCACTGTTCTACTGTTGCATCCATGTAAAATGGTATATCAGTAATTTCATGTGTAGTAATTTGTATGTTTTAGCACATACAGATGTACTTTTATCTGTACTTATGCCCTTCAGCACCTCTTTGCTATAGTAACATGTCAATGCATGTGGCCACACTGTTCATCCTTGTCCAGTCTACATAACTGTATAATTATGTACCACTGTACTATCACATTCATATATGCTGCCATACAAATACATCCCAGTCAAGTATTGTAATTGTATATCAGTTCATATTGCTTCACTTGCACGTTACTGTACACTGTAGTTCCAATTCTTCCATGTGTATTGCTTTAATATGCACTGTGCACCATATGTACTGATGTGCACTGTCTGTGTCTGAGTGCAGTGGTATACTACTACTTCCGTGTGCACTACTACACGTGTTTTCATGTACACATGCACATCCTTGTACTCTGCTCCTCATGCATATCCATGTACTAGGTGAAACTAGGACATCAGTGTGTCATGTTCTTCTGCATCAATATACCCATGTTTCAAAATGAAGACATCCATGTGCACATGTGCTACTTTACTAGTACAATGAGCACTGATGTCCCAAAGCATTGGTCTGTATTGCAGTAGTGGTACATCCATCTTTTCTGCATGATGGGCACAGGCGTGTATTCTTATTCAGCTTGTCTGCAACATGAGCACAGAGGTCTGCACTATCTAGCTTACCTGTGTCTCTGTGCACAGCTGTCTAAACTTTTTCTGACTCTTTGGAGCACTAGACACAGGTGTGTGTGTGGCTTTTCTTATGTTATGCTTTACTAATAGCTTTTGCACATTTTTTTATGATTTGCTAGATCCTAGATGCAGCTGTTTTCCTTTTTATTTTTTTTAATTAGGTGTAATTATGGAATTGTTATCTTCTGTTTTCATGATCAGTTGTACACTTAGATAAAGTTTCTGTGCTTTTCTTAATAGGACACAGCCTTGCTCAGCCTCTATGTTTACTTCTGATTTTTGTTTTGTTTTATGTTAGTTGCACCCATGGATCAGGTGTCAGTACTTTGCCTGATTAGCTGCAGCTCAACACAAAATTGTCTCTTCCATCTTTAATTATCTATGCGCTGACCACAGCAGATTTTGTCCTAGCCCTAATCCTACACTTACCCATGACATAACCTATTACCAGAAATCCTACACTTAACCTAAACCTAACAAACCTAACCTTGAACTCCAAACCTTACTCCTAACCCTAACATTTTGTCTAACCTTATCATTAGCTCTAATCTAAGCAATAGTTTTAACATTACAATAAGCAAATGATTGACCATAACTACAGTACTAATGTTAATACTAATTGTAACCCTAGCAACAAGCATAATTCTAACACTAGCACTAACCAAAACCATTGCGTAAACCTACCCTTAACCCTAACACTAAAGAAACCTCTTTCCTGTTAGAAACATAACTGAAAACATCTTATGTAACTTGGATTACTGTGAGCCTGGGTTTGCACTGATACAAAAGGTAGTCCTCGGAAGCAAGCTCTCAGGCAGTCTGTCCAGCACTTCAGATTGGAGCCTAGCCTTGAATAGGCCTTTATATGATAATGGACCAATGCCCTGGTGAAAATGCTAATAATATTAGTATACAAATTCATAATCAAGGAAGCGCAATGTATATATTTGATAGTAATTACAATAAAATCTCTACATACACTAAGGAAAGAAGAATAGTCCCTGTATAATAAAAAGCATACAAGTGAATAGAGAATATATCTGTCTTCATACTATGAAATGTTCTTTTAAAAAAATGAATGTATGCATTGTTTGAATGTCCCTAAGAATATTATGTACATGTCTACTACCATTAAAGGACAGAAGATGGTGCTAGATCCACAGAAACTGAAAATTAAGATAGGTGTGGGGTGGTGAAGAGCCCTGACTGCACATCCAGAGGTCCTGAGTTCAATTCTCAGCACCCGTATGATGACTCACAACCATCTGTATTAGTATCAGATTCCCTCTTCTGGTGTGTGTGTGTTGGTGTGTGTGTGTGTGTGTGTGTGTGTGTGTGTGTGTGTGTTGGTGTGTGTGTGTGTTGGTGTGTGTGTGTGTGTAAACACAGAGCACTCATAAATATTAAATAAATTTTTAAATAAATAAATTAAATTAATTAATTAATAAATAAATAAAGGTGTTAGTTACTGTATGGAGAATGAGAATCAGACCCATGTCCCTTTCAACATAAACAAATGCTCTTACCTACTGGGCTTTCTCTTCAGTCCAATAAATGAGATTAAAATGTATATCATTTTCAGATTGCTAATAAATTCATTGTAATGCACATAATATTCCTAAAAGAGTTTCAAAAGTTAGTAAACTCAGTCTATAATTTATGGAGATAGAAAAAGGACAGCATGACTAGGTAAATTGGAACCCTAGAAAAGTAGCATTATATCCTCTGACTTTATTCTTCTCTGTTATATAAAATTAGAGTGATCAAGACTGTGGTGCACTCCTGCTTCCTAGAGGCATTGCAGGTGTGTATTTTGTGTCATACAGGTGTCAGTAGGAGGCAGTGAAGAGAAAGGCTATGTCTATGCTCAGCTCACTGTCCTGATCAATGAATATCTGAATGATTAGTAGCCTTAGATTCCCTGAGATAAGTAAGCCTAAGACAGCCTGACTGGGATGAGGCAGTCAGCCTTGCAGGATGGGAAGCCAGTGACTAAATGGACCCTGCCTATAACCAGGGCCAGGAGCATGAGTGAGCCTGAAACAGACAATGTTCAGAGGGTTGCTCAGGTAGACAAAGTGGGGAGTGAGCCCAAGGTGAATACCAGACAACTACCATAGGGCCCAGACAGGGAGCTAGCCTGTTAAAACCACATGTCTGAGACCATAATGCATGAGGAGGGCATAGCACGCCTAAGATCACACCTGATATGACCCCAAACTCTCAGAGAGTCCTGTAGCATCTAAAAAATATTTAGAGTGGGTGACTCTTGAGGAGAAGCAGAAGGGACAGGCAAGTCTCTCATTTCTGCTTCCATGGGGTTTATGTTATGACATATATCACTGTGGGAGGAAACTCATCATACTGTACACAGTAATAGATTGCCATATCTTCAGACTCCAGGTTGCTGATAGTCAGAGAATAATCTGAACCAGATCCTCTGCCACTGAACCTTGATGGGACCCATCTACCAGTTTATTTGCATAGTAGATCAGGAGCTTAAGGGATTTCCCTGGTTTCTGCTTGAACCACCTTAAATAACTGCTATAGTCCCAACTTGCCCAGCAGGTGATGGTGACTATCTCTCCCAGAGATGCAGACATGGTGGATAGTCACTTGGTCATCTGGATGTCACATATGGTACCTTGGAGTGGAGCATGATAAAAAAGGACATCCTCCAAATGCCAGGCAATATTAATCACAGTGAAACCCCCATTTTAGTTCATTTTTCCTGGAAACTAGAGCAACAAGAAGCCAAGAAACTGAGCAGGAGCCATCATGTCCATCCTGAGTCCTGATTGCAATGACAATGGAATATATGATATGACTTATATATGAAGAAGGCCAAGGCTGTGCAGTGAGAGCATGCAAATCATTAGGAACCAGTTATTGCTGGGCACAGATGCAAGGCTTACTCATCCCAACACTTAGCATAAGGCCAGTGTCCCCAGATGTCTAAGATTGAACCACTTATATGTCTCCAGAGAATGAATTTCTTTTCAAATATTTAAAATTATAAATGATTTTTCTAATGTATTTAGTCTCTATTTTGAATAGTATATTTAAAAGACATACTAGGATAACAGAAGACTATCCTGCTGTAAGAGAATATACAAGATAGAAGGAACTATCAGATCTTTAACTTAGTCAAATGATTCTGGTGGGTTAAAAAAATACTAAATATTCCCCTTTTGAAGTTTTTGGAGTAGACATTTCTTGAAATTAAAAAGATAATTTATCATAGCCATTTTCCTGAATAAAAACATACGATTTTACAGTTTTAACTTTGCTAACTACAGTTTAAAGAGAGGAAACACACAGTACATGCCCATATAACAACTTGATCCAAATACTTTCATACTTAGAGACTAAATAGGTACAAGATTTGCTCAGTTTTGGATGCTCCATATTTTGTTCCTTTCTACCATTTGTTACTATTTCCTATATTTTCTCAGCATAGTGATGATACAGTTGAGTACTATGACAGAAAACACTGATATTTTCACATTTTGTTCTTGTGCAGTACCTGGAAGAATTATCCTCAGTCAGGCAGCAGCCTCACTGTCTGCAGGTAAGTCCTAGTCTCCAAAGAAGTATGATGCAGAAATGTTTGTGCAAACTTATAACACAAATATTGAATACAACATATCACAAATCTATCTGTTTATTATGACCATCCAACATTATTCTTCATCAGGACAAGTATGATCTATTCAGTCTTCCATACTTTGTCCTAAGTTAGGAAAACCTTGGGGTCTTTCAGAAACTAACTATGGAAGGTCCTACAATGTTGCAGCATGAGTCTTAATAAGCTGACTTTCCAAGGGACTGACGTGTAAGACCAAATACCTAGTCATAAAGCAGCATCTTCAATATACAGAACACCACCCCCATCAGGAGTATGGCACAGAAGCTTTTGGATGGATTAATAGTAATACTACCTTCTCTTCCTCTTTCCTGAACTTTCATTCTGCTGTTATCTAACATCTGTATCTGTGTCTCTTTGATTTTTGAGGCTTGGAAGATGTTTCAGCATTCTCATATGATAGTCTCAGGATATGAGGAAGATTTGCTCAGGATACTTTTAATGGATGTTAATAGGAGTATGGCAGTTCCTCTCAACTTAAAACAAGTGAGTCATTAATATGCAGGGCATCTGGAATCTGAATTCTTACTACTTCTCCTTTAATGATATGTGCAAATGTGAAGAGAATTACAGAAACACTCAACATTCTTTTATTAATTGGCCTTAGACTGTAATAAGTATTAAATTATTTTGGTTTTGGATTATGACTTCCAATGAAAGCCTGTATAACATTGAACATTGCTGCCTTCTTTTTTCATTTTTTATTGGTTATTTTATTTATTTACATGTCAAATGTTATCCCCCTTCCCAGTTTCCCCTCCACAAGCTCCCTATTGTCTCCTCCCTCTGCCTCTATGAGGGTGCTCCCACACCCATCCACCCACTCCTGCCTCAGAGACCTAGAGTTCCCCCATCCTTGGTCATCAAGCCTCCACTGGACCAAGGGGCTCTTCTCTCAGTGGTCCTGGATAAGACAATCCTCTGCTACAAATTCAGCTGGAGCTATGGGTACCCTCTCTGTACTCTTTGGCTGGTGGTTTTGTCCCGGGGAGCTTTTGAAGGTCTGGTTGGTTGATATTGTTGTTCTTCCTATGAGGTTGCAAACCCTTTCAGCTCCTACAGACCTTACCCTAACTTCCCCATTGAGGTCCCCCGGAATAGTCCAATGTTTGGCTGAGTACACCCACATCTGTATTGGTCAGGATCTGGCAGAGATTCTAAGAAGACAGTTGTATAAGGCTCCTGTCAGCAAGCACTTCTTGGCATCTACAATAGTGTCTCAGTTTGCTGTCTGCATGTGGGATGAATCTCCAGGTGGGGCAGTCTCTGAATGGCCTTTCCTTCAGTCTCTACTTCACTCTTTTCCCCTGTGTTCCCTTTAGACAGGAGCAATTCTGGGTTAAAATTTTTGAGATGGATAAGTAGCCACATCTCTCTACTTGGGGACCATGCCTAACCTCTTGATATGGTCTCACAGGTTCTATTGCCTCTCTGTAGGGTATTTCAACTACTGTCATCCCAGTGGGATCCTGGGAGGATCTTGCATTCCTGGCATCTGGGACTTTCTAGTTGCTGTCACCAGATTCCCATCCCCCATTGTTATACATGTCTGTTCAATTTTGTGGCTCTCTGTGCATCTCCTCCATCTCCTCCCATACCTGATTCTGCCCCTGTTTTCCCGTCTCCTTCTTCTCTTCCTCCCAAGCCCCTCACACCATCTACTTCATTTAATTATTTTGTTCCCCCTTATAAATTGAACTGAAGCATCTGCTCTTTGGTCTTCCTTACTATTGAGCTTCAACTGCTCCGTGAGTTATATCATGGATATTCTACATTCTTTGCCTTATCAGTGAATATATACCATGTATGTTCTTTTGTGACTGAGTTACCTCACTCAGTATATTTTCTAGTCCCATCCATTTGCCAAAGAATTTCATGAATTCATTGTTTTTAATAGCTGAGTAGTATTCCATTGTGTAAATGTACCACATTTTCTGTATCCGTTCCTCTGTTGAGGAATATCTGGGTTCTTTCCAGCTTCTGGCTATTATAAATAAGGCTGCTATGAATATAGTGGAGCATGTATCCTTATGACATGGTGGAGCATCATCTGAGTATATGCCCAGGAAAGGTATAGCTGGGTAGTAAGGTAGTATTATGTTCAGTTTTCAGAGGAACAGCCAGACTGATTTCCAGAGTGGTCCTAACAGCTTGAAATTTCACCAGCAATGATGGAGTATTCCTCTTCTCCACATCCTCACCAGCATCTGCTATCACCTGAGTTTTTGAACTTAGCCGTTCTGACTAGTGTGAGGTGGAATCTCAGGGTTGTTTTGATTTCCATTTCCCTGTTCACTAAGGATGTTGAACATTTCTTTGGGTGTTTCTTGGCCATTCGAGTTTCCTCAGTTGAGAATTCTGTTTAGCTCTGTTCCCCATTTTTAATAGGGTTATTTGGTTCTCTGGAGTCTAACTTATTAAGTTCTTCATATATATGGGATTCTAACCCACTATCATCTGTAGGATTGGTAAAGATCTTTTCCCAGTCTGCTGCTTGTCATTTTGTACTATTGAGAGTGTTCTTTGCTTAACAGAAGCTTTGCAATTTTATGATGTCCTATTTGAGGATTCTTGATGTTAGAGCATAAGTCATTGATGTTCTGTTCAGGAAAATTTCTCCTGTGCCCATGTGTTCAAGCCTATTCCCCTCTTTCCCTTATATTAGATTCAGTGTATCTGGTTTTATGTGGAGGTCCTTTATCCACTTGGACTTGAGCTTTATATTGGGAGATAAGAATGCATCAATTTATATTCTTCTACATATTGACCACCAGTTGAACCAGCACCATTTGTTAAAAATACTGTCTTTTTTCTACTGGATGGTCTCAGCTTCTTTGTCAAAGATAAAGAGACCATAGGTGTGTGGGTCCATTCCTGGTTCTCAATTCTATTCCATTAATCTACCTGCCTGTTTGTATATCAGCACCATGAAGTTTTTATCACTATTGCTCTGTAGTACAGCTTTGAGGTCAGTGATGGTGATTCCCCAAATGTTCTTATATGGTTGAGAATAGTGTTTGCTATCCTGGGTTTTTGTTTTTCCAAATGAATTTGAAAATTCCTCCTGCTAACTCTATGAAGAATTGAGTTGGAACTTTGATGGGAATTGCATTGAATCTGTATATTACTTTCAGCAAGATTGCCTTTTTTGCTATATTAATATTGCCAATCCATGAGCATGGGAGATCTTTCCATCTTCTGAGGTCTTCTTTGATTTCTTTCTACAAAGACTTGAAGTTCTTGTCGTACAGATCTTTCAAGTGTGTGGTTAGA